CAACTGGTCAGATGTTGATGGAGAAGAGAAAACACCTCTATTGGACCCCTACACGGCGCACTGTATTGATCTCATATTGGAGGAACTTGGTGATCTACCTCAACACAAGAGCAACCTTTCTAGAGCGAAGAAGACACAAAATTTATCTACAATCACTCATGGGTCTTAGCCATAATGAGAAAGTTCTCGAAGAAGGAAATCATTCGCCCTGCTACTACTAGGTTCGTTATTACATTTGTGTACTGCAAAACATTTTCAATTTCTGATGCAAGTTTATTCTACAGGTTTGCCACATCTTATTTGACACTGTATAGCAGCTAGATGTTAGGCAACCTCTTGAAGCTATGTTTACATCAACACAATGGCTTAATTCTGTGTGGGGCAAGAAACCTGAGGGGAAGAAAATACGAAGGCTGATTCTAAATGATAAATTTTGGGCAAGTGTGACCTATGCCATATTGAGCACAAGACCCTTAGTACAAGTTATATGATTAGTAGATGCCGAGAAGAAACCAGCCATGGATTTTATATATAATGCAATTGATGAGGCAAAGGAGTTGATTGCACATAACTTGGGAGGAGAGGAGGCAAGTTTTAGAGAGATTTGAGATATCATTGATGTTCGGTGGGAGGTCCAGTTACACCGTCATTTACATGCAGCGACGTATTATCTCAATCCTCAATTTTAGTATTCAGAGAGAAAATCCTCAAATCCAGAGGTGAAGCTGGGCTTGTATCATTGCATGGGGCGACTAATACCGGACTAGACCATCAGGGAGCTTGCAGATTTAGAATATGTTCTATTTCGAAATAGGGAGAGATTTTTTGATCTGCAAGCTGCAAAATCTACTATTGTAAACGCTCTCTAGGTAAACTTATTTTTACAAAATTTTCGTACATGCATAACACTTTAATATGTTCTGATTATCATTTTTCTTCTTGAAAATAGTTGAATGGTGGATCCAATTTGATGATTTTACCCCTGAGTTACAGAGTTTTGCAGTTAGAGTTTTAGGTCTCACTTTTTTCTTCCTCTGGGTGTGAGCGAAACTGGAGTAGATATAGTCAAGCGCAAACGAAGAGAAGAATTCGACTTTTAACACTTAGAATGAACTCCCTTGTGTATATTATGCAGAACAAGAAGTTGAGAGATAGGAGGTTGAGGAACAAGGGGTTGAAGGATGATGAGGACCCTTTAGTGTGTGATGATGTGGCGTCTGATAATGAGTGGTTCATAGATGATCAGACAGATTTATCATTATCAGACCTGCAGCTAGAAGATCTAAGTGTGGATGTCTTGAGGGGCGAAGCAAATCAAGTTGGCACATCCACTAGTACCACACCACACACATCCACTAGTTATGCAGCACAATAAGCACATAAAGGTATCTCATAATTTCTTATGTGTTATTATATTATATATATGCAATTAATATGACACTAATTATTCTTATTGAACAGGGAAGAGAAAAGTGAGTAACGTTGAAGATGATAAAGATTTGACATTCATAGATATAATTGGAGATGAAGAAGCCTCCCTTGAAGACTCATTTAGTGATGGGACATATTGGATTTTAGATGTTCTTTCTTCTTTGTACTTTGGGAGTTTTTGTAGACTTATATTTATGATTTTGTATTTTAAATTATGTTATGAGATGTATATATTGCATCTATTTTATTCTTTTTCACTAATTTCACTTCCATTTAGATGTTTTTATTATGTGATAGACTAACTGTTAATTACCTACTAGAATACTTAAATTCTTATTTATGCAATTCTTCGTCCGTGAGTCTTACGCCTATGAGATGTATATATTGCATCTATTTTATTCTTTTTCACTAATTTCACTTCTCATTTAGATGTTTTTATCATATGATAGAATAACTGTTAATTACCTACTAGAATACTTAAATTCTTATTTATACAATTCTTCGTCCGTGAGTCTTACGCCTCATAGCGCCTCGAGGCTTATTTACGTAATTTCAAACCTTGTGTTAAAGGGTTGTTTTGGAGAGTTCATATGAGTTGTTTGTTAATTTGAGAGCTTTGCAACTTGAAACCCGTTTGGAGAGCTACCAGTTTGGGAGTTTGTACATAAGTTGGATTATTGAAAATATTGATTTCTAGCATTTATTTTATTTTAATTATATTAGTTAATTATGAATTAATTAAATGAATTTTAATTGAGTTTTAATTTAAATTCAATTGGTTAGTTTATTAATTTTGAATTTCAAGTGTATATTAAAATTGGTTTTATTAAATTTGATTATTAACTAATTATCTGAGTTAAATGAAAATTGAATTTTTTAATTAAGATTTAATTTATTGAATTTGTTAGTTGAATTTGTTAGTTTAAATTTTAAGTGTATGTTAAAATTATATATATGTTGAATTTGATTTGCTTAATTAGATTAACCAATTAATTAATTTTTAAATTTAATCAGAGTTTTGGTTTCAATTATATTACTCAAAGTTTCAATTTGAATTAATTTAATTAATTTAGGATTTAATTTTAGTTTAAATGAAATTACATATTACTCTCAAATCTAAAATTTTAATTTTATTTAATTGTTTAATTTAACTGTTTAAAGCTTTTGATTTAAGTTTTTCAATTAATTGAAATCAATTTCAAATTAGTTCAATTAGATAGAGCTTTATTTCAAACTTATTTAAGTGCGTTCATAAGTCAATTAGTTAATTTAGAATTTTAACTTTAGATTAATTAGTTGATTTGTTACTTTACTAAAGTTTTTATTTAAATTTTAAGTTTTGTCTGATTTTAAAATTTTTATTGGTTAATTAATATTGCAATTAGATTAATTAGTTGAATATTTTTCAATCTTTCCAAAAATCCAAATAAGTCCAAAAAATTTCCAAGTCCAAAATTTTTAAGAAAATTTCGGCAACATCCTGGCATCCCCTCCCTGCGCCGGGAGGTAAGGAGGGCACTTGCCCTTTTAATCAGCCTGGCCGAAAAGATAGTCAACGAGCAACGGCTTCGGAACATTGTCAGGTCCTAGAATCGAACTTTGGAAGCTTTGATTGACTACGATTGGTTGCAGATTGGTTGTCGACGATTGTAGGTACTCGATTGAAGATCCCTTTTTCTTTTTTTTATTACATTGATTAAATGAATTTTTGATTTAATGTTTATTCAATTAATTAATTTCAAGTTCATGTTTCTCCAATCTTTCAAAATTTTGGCTAAGTCCAGAATTATCAAGTAAATTTCGGCAACCTTCATACGTCCCTTCCTCATCACTGAGAGGTAAGGAGGGCACTTGCCCTTTTGGCTCGACTCGACCGGAGCGAATCAACGGCGAGGAGATTTAGAGAGCGATTGAGCCTTCAAGTCTTCAATCCCTCGGTCGGATAAGCTCGACAACCGAGGGTTTCGGGGGACCAAATTAAACCCCGGGACTTCCTTCAAAAATCTTCAATTTGTTTTCGTACATGTTTGAAAATCCCTTTCCTCTTCTCTCCTCTTCTCTTTTTGTTTATTTTATATATATATATATATATATATATATATACATATATATATAGGGAGAACGAAGAGAGCCCGATCGGACTAGGGCATGGGCACGCACGGCAGAGGAGAAAGCGGGAGTTGGCCTGGTCGTCGGCGGAGGCGGCAAGCCGGCCGGTGTCGGAGTCGGCAAGTCTGGCGAGCCGATTGCGGCTAGGACACTGGCTCGGAGAAGGCGGCTTCTGGTTGGAGGTAGGAGATAGAGGAACAGACGGCCAAGTCGGATCCGGCCGGGTCGACGTTGGAGCAGGAGGTTGGAGGTCGGGCCGGTGAGTGCAGGGATGTTGGAGGCCGACGGTCGGTTCGGAGTTCAACGGGAGCCGAGAGGTAAGTTCCCAACTTCCTTGCTTTCGATTTCTTGCGATTCTCCTAAGTTCTTGTATCTGTGCATATGAGAGTGCGAACGAGAGAGGGTGAGTGTTTTGTGTCATGAGAGATCATGGGTGAGGTCGTGGGATCATGCGATTGTGGGGTCAGCAGTTGGATCGTGGGTTGTGGTTTTAGGTTTACAGTCAATATTTACTTCTACAATTTTCTCTATTTTTATGAATTTCAGTTTTAGCTCTTTCTTTTGAGCATGCCAATGATGTTCGCTATGATAATTACTTGTCTTCTCTAGTTTTTTGGATTCCTCCCTAAGTCATTTCTCTATTTTTTCTCCCCACCAACTTGGGCTTATATTCTCTAGTGTGGCGATCAATGTGGCCTTTGTTACTCGTGCATCTGGATTTCCTTTATCCTTTTCTAGGGTATCAGCAATTTCAACAATGGATGCATAAGATTTGAGAGAGGTCGGTGACATAAACTTAAGGCAGTTTTTTGTTCTAGAACAACTACAAGAATTGAGGCCCATTTCACGCAGTTACAAGAATCTTTTGGTTAATTTAGATTCAAGATGTGGTTGCCAGCTTATTTTTGGAATTTATTGCAATTTTTGGGAGGTTTTGTGATTATAAATCAGGGGGGTTTGTGTTTGTACAAACATTTTAATTCTTCTATTTGATTCAATAAAATTTTTAATTCCTATCCTTCTCCTAATGCAAACGGAGATTAAAAGTGTAAAGGGGAAGTTATCTCTATGTATAAACATGAGGCTTGATGTTAACATTTGATGATTGCTTACCTCTTCTATTTCTTATACTCTAATTTCTAGTTATTAGTTTGCACGTATGATTGAGTTTGTCAAATTTGGAACAATTTTATTTTCAGTTGCAAATACGGATTTCAAAATAGTCCTATTTCAGTTCATAACACCACACAAACACAAAGCCCAGTCCACAGCTATAATTCAGCATCAGACAAAGGAAAAATGATAAAAATATTATGGCCCCTGAAGGTATTACAACAGAACCACAAATTTATTAATTATTACTAAGATCCAGCATCGCTAGCAAGGAGAAAATGATAAACGAAGAAGTAAATAAAAACCTTTAAACGAACGACTAAGAGAGTGATAGCACGCAACCTGACCTGCAGCCCTCAAGGCAGCGGCGGTAAAATCATCGCACTGCTCCAGATAAGCCACGCGATTTGCTGGGCAGCTGAGAAACGTATCCCTCAGTGCAGCCGGTAACGGAGCGAGCGGTGGCGGCCGGGCCTCGAACGCCTTGAGGAGTCGGCGAACGCGTAGATTAAGCGCAGCGTAGTGGCAGCGATCCCCGTCGAAAGTGTGCTCCGAGCAGATCGCACCGGCCTCCAGGAGCATCCGAGCTGCCTCGACGTGGCCCGCGAGGCAGGCATAGTAGAGGGCGACAGAATCCCACCGGTCGCGAGCATTCACGTTGACACCAGAGTCGAGAAGGTAGCGGAGGCGGTCGACGTCGCCGGCCCTTGCCGCCTCGAAGACGTCACCGGCCGGGACCTTCTTAAGGGGGATTGAGGGGTGAAGATCCTCCGGGTCGAGCTCAAAGCCATCGAGGTCAAGATCAATCGACCAAGTGGGCATTTGATCGTGCGCTATAGTTTCAGTTAGGTTTCTGCCGTTTGGATTGTAGCTTTTGGGGGACGCTCACCCTGGCGGCCAAGCAGATCTCGGCTCTGATCTATGTCGGGGAAATAATGGAATCTTCGCCTTGGAATCAAAAGGAATCTACGTCTGGATCAGAACGGCATTAGACGAGATTAACGAAATACGTGGAAAATCATGGGAAAGTCTGATTTATATAGGCCCCTAATAGCAGAAATTGTGAGGAATATGTTCATATTTTATTTAAATAAAAAATATTCATATTTTATTTTTTAAAATTAAATTTACTTAAATGTTTATTTCAAATTTAAATATTCTCATTTCTTACATGAGTCAAATATTTAAAAACAGCTGCAATAAACATTAGTCCAAAATAAGTTCAACATTATTATAAGAGAAATTTTCATATTATAGGATACAAATAATATTTAATAATAACATAAACAATAAATTACATTTAAATAATTATAATTCTATATAAGGGAGTGCAATCAAAATAGGCATGATAAAACAAATTATAAGATAGATAAAATAGAGAGGTATCATAATAATTATGATACAACAATCACAAGATCAAAAGTATTATATTAAATCTAAAATATAACACATTTTAATTACATTCGTTATATCTTTCATGTTCTTAGAACTAGCATTACATTAAATACAAGTAATTACAATTTTATTACTATGTTTATGAGAGTAAAGTATAATATTTTAGGGTAGTGGCTACTAATTTTAACTCACTCCAAGGCTCTTAGGTGCATCTCTAAATAATGGCATGATTTATTGATTACATGAGTTTAGAGTTTGATTACATTACTTTGATGATTATAAATATAATTTAATGTTAAAAAACTACAAGTCGATTATGCAAAAATTTATCAAATTCAATAACATTCTATGTTGCTAATTCATAAATATATTTTGCATACTTTTGGCCATTTCTTTATTATAAGAGGAATTATCTGCAAAATATTGAATTGACTAAATAAAGATATGTAAGCTAATTCATAAATATATTTTGCATACTTCTGGCCATTGCTTTTTGATCGTGTTCTTCTCTAATTTTTAATTGTTGTAAACCATTTCTCTCCCAAATGATGATGTATGTTTCTTCTTGTTAGAAGTGGTAAGAGAGAAAGGCTTAGAGACCTAAAATATATAGAAATTCTAAATTATTTCTACCCATCATAGCAATAAATAAAATTTTAATTTTAAATGCTGAATTTAAAACTAAAAATGATCAATTTTAATTTTTGAATTAAAATTGAGTAGCAGTCATTTTAAATACTTAATTAAAATTAAAATAGTCAATTAATTAGAAATAATTTGGACCATTAATGGTAGTTATTTTAGCAATCTTCCACTTGGTCCAAATATTCTATCACAAATAAAATAAGTAATAAAAAGCATGAATCATGGTGATAGGTCCTCTAAGTGCAAATATTATCTCTCATGCATCACAATGATTAGGTCTCTTATATATTGGTTTATTTAACTTATTGAATAAACCTTATGTTTATTATAGGTCCAACTTAATGATATTTATCATTACATAAATGTGCACACATAAATAACTAAAATATATAAAACATCATAACCATATTCATTTTGCAATGAAATTAACTAAAGTAACCAAGATCCATAGGGTCCACATGATCTTAGAATCCATAGGGTACACAAGATCTTTGAATTTTTGTGGTGGCATGTCTTTAGTAAAAAGATCTACTATCATCAATTTAGTGCTTATGTGCTCAGTAACCATTGTGTTTTCCTTAACACATTCTTTTATGGCTAAGTACTTTATGTTAATATGCTTGTTTCAACTATAGCTTTATCATTCTTAGCCAAAAATACTATAGTTGGATTACCACAATATATTTTCAAATGCCTATATATTGAATCTAAAAGTCTAAGCCCAAAAATAAAACTCTTCAACCATACACCATAAGAAGTCAGAACCTAAATATGTAGTCACTTCTAAAATATCAATCTTCCTATACATAAAACTAATCTTTAGTACTTTAGAGATAACACTTTCTTTTCAGCTTGATAGTGGTACATGCATGAATTACTCCGATGTATCCCTAACATCAATACCACAAATACTATGTTAGGTCTTATGTAAACTTGAGCATACATTAGGCTACTAATAATAAAAGCATATGGAATATTTTTTATTTCCTTCCGTTCAAATTTATTTTGCAGGCACTGACTCAAACTAAATCTATCCCCTTTAACAGTGGGAGCTATGCTTAGTGAATAATCTTAAATCTCTCCATTATTTTATTTATAGAGGTCCCTTGAGACAAATTTAAAATGCCTTGAAGTTTAGCTTTTTGTTTTTTAATGCCAATAACATAAGAGCATTACCCATATCCTTCATATCAAAATTTTTAGAGAGAAATTATTTCACCTCGCACAATAAGGTCTTACCATTAGTTGAAAGTAAACATAGGATTAGAAAATAAATTTTGTTCCCATTGATCTTCTAATCTATACATTGATCCATGATATTTTATACAACCAAATAAATATATTACATCATGGAATTTTAAATACCATTGACAAGAGACTTGTTTCAATCCATATATAGACTTCATAAGCTTGCGCACTAAATGCTCACCTTCACTAGAGGAAAATCATTCTTGTTGTTTCCTGTAAACTCCTCCTCCAATGTTCTATTTAGAAATGTAGTTTTCATATCCATTTGTTATAGCTCTAAATCAAAATGCCTAACAAGTACCATGATAATTTTGAAGGAATCCTTTTAATAGATAGGGGAAAAAGTCTCTTTTTAATCAATCCCTTCTTGTTGAATAAATTCTTAGGAACAAGTCTTGCATTTATATCTTTTTTTGTTGCTTAAGGAGTCTCTTTTGATCTTAAAGACTCATTTACACACTATGGCTTTTACACTATTAGGTAACTTTATAGGATCCCAGACTTTGTTATATACCATTGAATTCATCTCATCTTTCATGACATCATATCATAAATCAAATTCCTTACAACTCATGGCTTGTGAAAATGTTTCAGGATCATTTTTAGCTCCAATATTATTGTTCAACTCTTGAAGATGTACAATATAGTCACTAGGAATTGTTGATTTTCTTTCCCTAATGGATCTTCTTAATATTGTAGCAATATCCTATGGTGGAGTTGGTTGTTCAACTATTTTTACTGGTTCATTAGCATCTTGTGTAATCTCTATTATGGGTTGTATAATACCCATTTGGACTTTAGGAGTGTTATGAGTAATAATTAATATGTCACTTGAATTAGAAGTTTGTGCGTTTATGTCTTTCTTTTCGAGAATATGTTTTTTAATAGGTAACACTCACTAATCAAATCATTCTAAAAAAATTTAATATTTCTTGATTCCACAATTCTAGTGCTACTAGATGGACAATAAAATATATAACCCTTAGACTTTTTAACATATTTAATAAAACATCCACTAACAGTCCTTTTGTCTAACGTTTTCTCATATGGAATAAAAATTTTGACTTCACACGAACATCCCCATACACACACATGTCTTAAATGTTATTTCCAATCTTTTCACAACTCAAAAGGAGTTTTAGAAATAGCCTTAGTTGGAACCCTATTTAAAATGTACACTACTATATTGATAGCTTCAGTCCATAAGAAATTAGGTAGTTTATAACTACTAATCCTACTCCTAACCATGTCTATCAATGCTATATTCATTCTCTAAACTACATCATTCTGATAAGGTGAGCTAGTTAAAGTATATTGGGTAGCAATCCTATTTTCTTGAATGAACTTTGTAAATTGATCAAGCATTTATCCATCTTCGCTATATCTTTCATAACACTCACCATCTCTATATGATCTCACAATTATAATTTATTTTCTACATTATTTCTCTGCTTCTACCTTAAACTTTTAAAGGCACTTAATTCTTTATTTTATTTTTAAGTATAAAGAGATGTATATATCATGAGTAATCATCAATAAAAGTAATGAAATATTTTGGAGCATGAAAATTCATATTTGGATAACAAATATTTGTAAGTATAATCTCTAATGTGTATGTACTTCTCTTGGCACTTTCTTTGACTTGTTAGTTTGCTTATCCTTAATGCAACCTATATAAGTATCTAAATTAATAAAATCCAAAGTATTAAGTACTCTTTCATTTACTAATCTTTTAATCCTATTTATCGAGATATGTTGTAATCTCTTATACTATAACATACATAAATTTTTATTTATAACACATCTTTTAATACTAGTTTGAACATGTATTATATTATGAGTGAAACTGTTTTGCAAATTAATATAGAAACGTCCATTAGACAAAATAAAATTTCCAACATGAAGTTTCTAAAAAGTTAAATGTATAACCAAAAGGTACAAGTTTGGAAACTAAAATCAAATTCGTAGAAAAAATAGGCATATAAAAAGTCATTTCTAATTCTAAAATAAAGCTACTTTTAAGTACAAAATAGCATGTTCCAACCGCTTCAATATATGAGCTCATTTTTTTTTCTTGAATACATATATTGTTCATTTCCCACTAGCTTCCTTAAATTTTGCATGCATTTTAAACTATTATAAATATGGATTGTAGATCCTGAATCAATCCATTATGTGTTATAAATAACATTAACCCTATTAGAATGAGATTATTTTACCTTTCTTGTCAAGCCAATTTTTGAATTTGCTGCAATCCTTCTTCATGTATTTCTTCTTTTTACAAAAAAAAAAAAAAAAACTTTGATTCCTTATGGATGTCATCGTGGGGTGGTATTTTATCTTTTCCTTTCTTCTTGGCATGACTCCAGTCCTTTCGATGTGTAGCTAATATTGCACTCTCACCCATTTTCATTACCAACCTTTCCTCCTCTTGAATGCATAGGGTCATAAGCTCATTAATTGACCATTTATCTTTATGTGTGTTATAGAATATTTTAAAAGGACCATTTTATTATGGAAGGGTGTTTAGAATACAGTGCAATAATAAAGACTCAGACATATCAACCTCAAGTGTCTTAAGCTAAGATGCAATGTCTCGTATTTGCATTATGTGCTTTCTCATCTTTAATTCCATTTAGCTCCATGGATGAAAACTTCAACATTAGGGTAATTGTAAGAGCTTTTTCTAAAGTGTTGAATTGTTCATCAA